GTGGAACAGCTTTAAGGCTTGTAGTGACTAATTTTTCATTAGTTGTGTATCTTATCTTTTCATGTTCAGGATTGCTTGTTTGCGGTACTTACATGGTTGCGGGTAGATGTAAGATGATTAATATTCTTATCTCCAAAAAAAAAAAAAAAGGAAACTAACAAAAGAAATTAAAGAAGTTTCTCAATTTCCAAAGCTTTCTCCCAGGTCAAGCAGAAGTAGCTTTCAGTTATCTTAGCCCTTTCATATTCACAAGGATATGATCTGGTTATTTGGTTAAATCCCAATTCTTTCACCTGCCTACCTACTCGAAAAGTGTGCTATTGATAGGGAGACTCGATGTTTTAAAAAGTGGCAAGGCTGCAAGGGACTTAAGTGAACCAAAAAACAATAAGTGAATTGCTTCGATTTCACTGAAGTGCATATTTCAAGGAAGTGCAGAACAATTATATAACAGTGCAGCATGTAATGTCACTTGCAAATTAAATCTGCACATAATTAGTCCCAAGATTAATTAGCACACATGTCATTATGAGTCAGGTAAAGTATACCTGCTTGGAGGATTGCTGCAGCCAGTAGAAATGAATAGCTAAGATCCAAAATGAGGATTTCATCATGCCTTGTAAGTCATTTGCAGAACCAAGAGTATAAAAAATTCACACTGACTAGTAAATAAGACCAGATCTAAGCATGGCTTTATATCGAAGTAGACACGAGCCTGGCGCACTTGGCTGTGGTAGAGTGAAGCTCTGAGGCCTCACATCAGTTTACCTGGCTCCTTTAAGAAAGGAGCAAGTTGTGGCTAGGATCTCTTGCTAACCTAAGGTTTGATAAGAAGTTTCCCACAATTGCAAGGCTAATTTCCTTGAACTTGGCACAAAATTCAAATAGCTGAGCCCATAGGATGGCCTGCTTGTTTGTATTTCTGGCAGAAAATATTTGTCTCCAATCTTTGTGGAATCAACTGTCAACACAAGGGTAATTTCATTTGGTTGGTGACTTCTGAAACATTTTGTTGAGACTGAAACAGTCTTGAAGTTAGTCTACAGACAGAGCTTTCAAGATGTATTCTAATGGGAACCGCTTCCTCCCTCTTGCCAAAGAGACTCTTTTCGTGGATGTTGGGGAGGAATTTGTTCTAACTTATATGTTGGTTCTGTTAACTGATAGTGTATTAAATCAGAAGCATAAAACAAAAGGGCAGCCCGGTGCACAAAAGCATCCCGCATTCACGCGGGGTCCGGGGATGGGTCGCACCCCTTGGGGTGTGATGTAGATAACCTATCCTAATGCAAGCATTAGTGGCTGCTTCCACGGCTTGAACCCATGACCTATATGTCATACGGAGACAACTGTACCCGGTAAGTCAGAAGCATCAATTCTCGAAATTCTGCGATAACTGATGAAAAGGTTCTTCTTCCAGCTAGAAGTACATTTTTTTTGTCCCCTTCCCCCCCCACCCTCCAAAAAAAAAAAAAGGAAGAAAAAGAAGAAGGCAGGTTCTTCCAGCTAGAAGTATAAACTAGCAGTCCTTGGCCTTTATCACTTGCAAACAACGTGCATTTGTCTGAATGTACTATAACATCTTCCTTCTTGGTGCTCAAATTATTGTGAAAAGTTGTGATTTGTTGAATGTTCAGGTAGCATTTCCACTTTCTGTGGTTTTGGTGGTAGTTTCAGATTTCCTGCTAAGATCACTGAAAGATATCTGTCGTACTCTTAGAAATTTACTATCGAATAAGCGCAAATGCTTGTTACATACATGAAGTACATGAGATACTTATTATCACAACCTTTTTCATCTTGTTCTGTTTTTCTGCTAGTTTGTACTGAATAGGATGTTGTTTGCTTCTGTGTATTATCTAGAGTGAAGGGTCTAGAGATATCATTGCACTTGGCACAGTACCATTGGCGACCATTGAGAAGTTCCAGAAAATTGTAGGTTTGCTTTTCTTTATCTTAAAATTCATATATGCAACAGTTATATTATATCGCTTTCCTTTTGTTTTTTTTTGATTATCGTATCACTTTCTTTTTCTTGGGATAACGGTGGTGTTCGGGTCAACTTATGGGCACCTCGATTAATCCACCAGCTACTTTCTACCTCCCACTTAAAAATCATATGTGATTTCTTCCCATCTGCTAAGCCTTAGTCGTTAAAGTTACCTTGTACCTGTACCCCAAAGGCTCCCCCATACAGGAACAATCTAAACATTCGGATCCATAGGAGTTATCAATGGATTGCAATTCATCATGCCAACTTCCTTCAATGTGTCCAAAGCATACTTCCTCAGTGTAATGAAATTTCCACCCCTAGATTTGGACACCTCAATGACTCTCACCTCAATGCCTCTAAGTACTTTATTTACCTAGGTCTTGAGATTAAAAGTGACTAATTAGATGCTACTTAATTATGAATAATGTCTTCATTCATCCTATGACAATATCATCAACATAAATATTCAAGAACATGCTTTTGCCATTATGAGAATAATTATAAATATTGGGTGATTAGCTTCACTTAGAAGCATGTCAAATTGTTGGACAGTAGTGCTAAAACAACCAACCCTATCCGTGGTGATTGCTTGAGACCATAAAGAGCTCGGTGCAATCTACATGGCTGTTGTTCCATGTAAACTTTTTCAGCTAGATCACAGGAATATAGTCTTGGTGTCAATTGATAAAGTGGCTAATGGAACATGATTGCCATGGAGATAAATGAGCGGATAAAAGCAATCTTGGCCACCAATTTTTTTTTATCATCATAGTCAAGATCATAAATCTGTATATATCTCTTGGCCACCAATCTAGCTGTCGGACGATCAACTTTCAGCACTAACCTTGACGTATCATTCAGTGATAATCTAATTGATGTGTTGTCGTGTGGCAAATAAATTTTCTCCCTAGTAGATCGGTCATTTCCTTAATCATAGCTTGATACCAACCAGGATGAGCCATTGCTTCTGCAACAATTTTAGATATTTTGACAATGGATAAATTTGTAATAAAGGTATGATGTTGGGTGGTAAATTGTGTTAACTTAAGGAATTCTATACAGGATAATGCCATAATGGTTGCGAGTAGGCCGAGCACCTTCTCAAAGAGTAATAGAGAGATCAAGTTCGTGCGATGAGTGCTTGATGGTATTTATAAGTAGGCAATGAGTCATTAGGTAAACTTTGTGGACCTGTATCATGAACAGAAACATCAATTGAATTAGGAGGATTTGGTTGAGATAATATGGAATGGACTTGAAGCGGAGTAGGAGCTGGAGCAGGAGAGCGGAAGGGCTAGAACTTATCTTAGTTTGTAAGAAAAATCTTAATTTAGTGTTGGGTTCGTTTAGTCCCACCTCCAATGTTGTTGATGAGTCAAAGATCTCGTTTTTCAATGACCTAAAACAAATTACGGTTCACCTTTTTCACTCACAGTGCAAAGCATAGTGAAAAGAGCCAAAAGCCCTTAAAATTTTGTAAATTGTGTGAAGTCCATCTTGACCACTGCAACGGATTCTCTTTAAAACTGATCTTTATGATTCTGTACCACAACAGTTACTGATTCCTCTTAGGGCGATTGCACCATTACGACCGTGATGGTCCTTAGCCCTTTTCTCATTCCTTTGATTCTCCACTGCGGCGCAATAATTGCACTACGGCCAGAGTGGCTGGTTTGGTCTTAGTTTTTCTTCTCTTCCCCTTCTTTTCTTTCTCAAGTCATTTCATCAACTTGTATCATATCAAAGCATGATTTTTTATGCACAACTTCGTCATAACATACTGAAATTCACTAGAACTATATGCTCGAGGGTCGGGGTGTTACATTTTTTTTACATGTGGTATTGGAAATTAAGCTCGCACGAGAGTACTGGGCTATTAATTTTTGGTCGTAGCATCCAAAGGCCAGGGGATCCCAGAATAATGGCTCTTTTTCTCTTGGCCAGCGATGTCTTGGAGCATCATATATCATCTACTTTCTCTTCTCTTTTGTTCATGTGTTGCTCTGGTTAACATTCTTCATATGTCTTTTCGTGTTCTCACTTGTCTAAATAGTGCTTGCCATTCTTCCTGTTCAATAAGAATTGGTTGGTTGAGCCTCATGTTGTTCCATTGGATGCATGTGCCTTTTGTTGCAAAGTGTGGTGATATATCTTTGATGCAAAGGTGCACCTTCTTTTGTCAAGTACTTCAATTTTCAAATACTTGTTTTCCGAATATCACCAGCTGATTTGAATATAATCAGTTTTAATGGAATATATTGGAGGGATGCTGAATATTTTATAGCTAAATAGGCGCACTTTATTTCTTAGTCATAGTCAGTACTAGTGGTAGTGGCAAAATGGATAAAAACAGTTATCCATCCATATTATCCACTAAAAATGGGTTGGGTAACTAACTTTCTAAAAATGGGTCAAAAAATATGGATAAGATCCATATTATCCACTTAAAAAATGGATAACCAATGGGTTTTAACTTTTACATTTGCAAAGACTCAAATTGGGGCTTCTTCAAGTTTGGGAGACTAGGAATTCTCCCAAAAGTGATTATATTCAAGAAGCCATGGATAATGTGGATATCCATATTATTTGCCGGTTAACCTATTTTCTCTCCGTAATATGGGTCGACTCGGATATTTTATCCATATTTGTATTATCTGTTTTCGACCCGCCCATATCCAACGCGGCCCGCCCGTTTGCCACCCTTAGTCAGTACCCAGGAAAACACATACTTTTTTATCTGCTTCACATTATAATCCTTACAATGGTGTGCATTTAGCTATTCTGTTGCTTCTGCAATACTACCTTTTCCAATAAGTGAGAAGCTTCTTCAGCCATCACAACATCCCGTACCCAAGTACAGGAGTCAACTGCCTTTGGCAATTTTCTTTATTTTTGAGCATCTAAGAATCAGTACTGTGTAAACCTTATCCTGTATTTGTCAATTCTGGCTACAATTCTTTCCTTTCTTGCTAACTAGGTTATGAAGCTTCCATCAGGTCAGCGTCAGCCTGAAAAGACTGGTTCACAGCGATTGCTTCAGATCATTGGTATGCCATTAGTTGAAAGCACTGTCTTCATCCTTGTAGTATTTGTTATTATACAATCTTCTGAAAATGGTAAGTTAACTTTAACATTTTTTTCCAGGCAAAGATATGAGAATCATTGTCTTTGGTTTTCGTCCTCGAACCAAGCAGGTCAGCTCAGAACTCATGTTCTGATTTTATGTCTTTTTTCAACTGTTGATGCTTTGGGCTCAATATGATTTGTTCATTAATTCGTATATTTACTTTGTTATCTTCTCTTTGTGGAGGAGAAGGGGTCCATGAAATTCCAGCTGCTTTATGTGGCTTGAACTTGCTGAGATTGCAATGCACTTTTAATTTCTCTTGTTGATGACTGAGTTCTTCAATAATAGCATGAGAATTTCCCAGTTTCTCTTCTTCAACTGGGTGGTTTGAGTTTTGTCCTTTTGAATAACTTTTGTGGACTATTACTGATAACTGACATGTTTTTCACCAAGTACAATGCCCTGAGCAATTCAGGTTAGAATAGAGAGTTAGAGACACTGAAAATATAATGAGTTAAAGATTGCAATGGCTATAAATATCTAGATTCTTTGTGCGTCTGTAGATTAACTTGTAGTGTACAGTTTTAACGTGTATCATAATTAGAATAACAATTGCTCTAGGGCTTTGGTCTTGTGGTAAGAGCTCAAGTGATGTGTGGATTAGCCTCATGTCATGGGTTCGAATCCTGTCGCAGACTAAAGACTAGTATTTAAGTGGAAATGAGTAGAGAAGCGGGCCCATCATCCACTGAGTTCAACCGTGCACCATTCGTCTCGGCTATTGTTTGGTTATCAAAAAATAAATAAATAGAATAACAATAATTAGAAGCTTCACTAATTACCAGTAACTTCCTCATTTAGGAACAAAAACTTTTCGTGATGGTCTAAACTCCTATACAGTGAATCGTCTTGAATGTCATTTGTGACCAATTGAATAAGTGGGTTTTTCTTTACTTTGTTGTCATTTCAACAGTACCTGAGCTGTCTAAATTTTAGAGGTACTTGTGAGCAGAGGCGGATCCAGAATTTTAAAGTTATGGGTTCGTACACAAATCTTAATTTAATATACAATAATAACTGAATTAACGGACTGAGTTCCAAGCTAAATATTCTTATATATTTAATAAATTTTTCAATACAAATATCGAATCTAGACAAAAGTTAATGGGTTCATGAGAACCCGCATCTAGTTCTCTGGATCCGCCCCTGCTTGTGAGAATGCACAAGAAAAAAATTTATTTATTGACAATGATAGAATGAGCCCTATATATAATACATATTCTACTTCTACTACCTATGGGATTAAAACATATTCTACTCTTACTATATATGGGACTAGGACATGTTCTACTCCTACTACATATGGGACTAGGATTATTTACACATAACTATCTAACACTCCCCCTCAAGCCGGTGCATATAAATCATATGTACCGAGCTTGTTACATATGTAACTAATACGAGGACCAGTGGGGGATTTGGTGAAAATATCTGTAAGCTGATCATTCGACTTCACTACAAGTCATGCCAACTCATGCATAACTGTGCCGAACTTACCAAACTAGCTCGAAGAGACCTCTTTAGACCATAAAGTGACCGGCGCAAGCGACATACAAAGCCACTAGACTCCCCCCGAGCAACAAAACCAGGTGGTTGCTGATAAACAGAAGTTGACCGAAAAGTCGCCGGAGAAATTTGAAATAGTGAGACTAAGCCGAATTCCACACTACAAAATAGGTCCTAAAACACTACAAAAAAGGAGAGAAACTTTTTGGAAATTACTGTTCGCGCCGGAAAAGTGCACTGTTCATGTCGAAAAAATAAATGTTGTCAGAATTTGATGTAATTTACATAGGTAGGTTCGGATTCACTGGACGAGTAAGTTGTCCTGAAGAAGTTTTGTCAAAAAGTGGCCGGAATGGCTCACACGTGCCGAAAAATTTACTGTTGCTCACGGGGAAATTCTAAAGTTCTCGGAATCTGCAGGAAATTGTAATGGTGGACTCGGAATCACCCCACGAAACAACTGTCCTAAAGAAATTTTTGAAAATTCTTGCTGGAAAGTATTGCACGTGCCTGCGCGTGTGTCAGCGCTCGCCGAAACCTTAGTTCTGGCGGCGAGTGGGGGAGCGTGAGGGAATTTCTGCCGGAGTGATTGACTGAGGTTTTGTCGCCTGACGTTTCTGAACAACACTTACCGATAAGGAGATAACGCAAATCAATCTTGAGTCATCAACCGGAAAGACGCACGATGACTGACTTTTCTGTTCCGATAGGACTGGGATTTCTGGGGTTTGGTCGCACAAGGGTTTCAGATCTAATGGTGGTACTGGTATATGCAAAGTTGCCGGAAAATTGCATGTCGACGAGATCTTTCTTCCCGGATGTCGCTGGAATGACGCACAACAATAATTTTCTCACTGAAGCTCTGATACCATCTGAGAATGCACGGGAGAAAAATCTATTTATTAATAATGATACAATGAGTCCTATATATAATACGTATTCTACGTCTAGTACATATAGGACTATAGGGCCTCATTTGTTTTTTTTAAGATTAAGACGTCTGAATCTGAATACACATCTGAATATCAAGATGTGTATTAAGTTTAAGACATCTGAATCTGAATACACATTTGAATATATTAAGATGTATATTAAGATCTGAATACCAAATAATTAAGACTGTTTGATTTTTAACATCTGAATGTATAAAATTTATCTTTATTTGTAAATTAATAAACATAAAATTCAAATAAAATACTAAATAATCTAATATTCCATTTATAAAGTATATAGTTTTTTAAAATATGCATGATAGTTGGTGGTGGTGATGACTAACAGGTGAATGCCGATTAGAGGCGGTGGTTGGTGGTAGTGTTGGTTGATGATGGTGGTTCATACTAGTAGCTAGTATTGATTGGTAGTGGTGGCGATTATGAATGAGGATGGTGGTGGTGATAGTTAATAATGGCGAGTGGTGATAGTAGTTGTGACTGAGGAAGGTGGTGGGTGGGTGGTGGTAGGTTATAATAATGGGCAGTGCCGGCTTTGGTTGTTGATGGTGATGGGGTGGTCAGTGTGGTAGTTGAGGTGGATGAGTGTTGATTGTGGGTGAGAATGATGGTGGTTGGAGTGGTGGGGATAGTGGGTGGTGATGGTCGATAATGGTGGCGGCTATGATTGAGGATG